TTCCTTGAGGTAACGGTAAGTTTTCGGTCTCTTTGCTTCATCATTTTCGCTTAAAACACTACAACTATCAAATAGGAAACCAGACTTATCAAACTGCTGGCGAATTTGTCTTGGCCAGTCTCCACTATGCGCTGTAGCGAATGTGTGTTCGTGTGGCAATAACCAAGAGACCGTTCTTGGGCAGCTCACACACACACACAACACTCAATTTACGGAGCTCCTGTTGCCTTTTCCCCCAGTGTGAGCCAGACTTTTACAACCCACTCGACAAGGGTTAAACACACACAAGGGCAGTAAAATGTGTGACATTACAAGCACAGATCTAAATACATTTTAGGCTATCGAAAAAAGTTAATAAGTAAAATAGCCCATTTATTTTTTATTATTTTTTTGTTACACAGCAGGTCTGAACGGGGCAGGTGCAGAAGGCCTCTGTACAGCTCAGGTCAGTCAGTACAGATCTGTCCTGTAATGCATCTGTTCTGCAGTGCTTACAGTAAGACCTCACTTGCTGCTTTTAGTACTTTTGACTCATCAGCCAGTTCAAGGTTATGTGCCATACATTTATACAAAGCACAGTCTGTGTTTGTCTCAGCTTGCTTTTGCTCCTGTGATCTATATGAGCGCGACACTGTTTTTTGTGCTTCAGCACTTCTAGAGGACAGAGCCACTGTAAGGACTGTAGCCACTTCCAGGTTATTTTAAGGATCTAAATTCTGGAGTCCAGACTGGCCTACTCCCAACCATCGACAGCAACTTGATGTTTTTAAACACCCCAGATCTGCAGAGCAGAAGTAAAGTTCCTCTTCCCCACTAGTTAACAAAGCCCTGAAGCAGCACCAGCGTGAAGCAGAATCTAGAGCTCTGGCAGAATCTCACGCCTGCAAGCCGGGCAGAGGCAGCAGGCCTCTCCGTACCTTCGGATGTAACAGTGAAACAGTCCTCCTTCCGGGAGTTCAGGATGATTTTCCTCAGTTGCCTGCAGCTGCAGAGCTGCCTGAGCGCGCCGTCCGACACCTTACAGTTCTGCAGGTCCGCCACCTGCAGCCCGGGGTGCAGCACCTGAAAGACATGTGGCCTGCAGTCACTGTCACTGCTCCGGTTTTATTCATGTCATAATTAAGCCATTCGGCTGACGCGTCTATCCAGAGAGGCTTGCTATTGCACGCATTTGAGAATGACACATCTGGAGTAGTAAAATATGGCCAACAGCCATGTCACCCTGCAACTCACAACTGGCAGCCCACTGAAGCTCAGCAGGTGGGAGCCTGGTCAGTACCTGGATGGGAGACCTCCTGGGAAAAACTAAGGCTGCTGCTGGAAGAGGCGTTAGTGGCGCTCACCCTGCGGTCTATGTCTACGGGGACACTATACTGTAAAATGGTGCCGTCCTCTGGATGAGATGTAAAACTGAGGTCCTGACTCTCTGTGGTCATTATCTGTGTGATAATTCCCATCTCTGAACTGGCTTCCTCACTCTGCTCTCCTCCCCACTGAGAGCTG